TATTTATTTATTTATTTATTTTTGGTTTGAAGGATTTGTCTGAATGCCCTTCATCCTGTCCCATACTGAAGTATTTTGAGGTGGGGTTAGGGTTATATGATATAACAGTTATAAACATATACACACCAAACAGCAGAGACCCAAAATATATGAAGCAAAAATTGACAGATTTGGGGGGAGAAATAGGTTTACAATAACGTTTGGAGACTTCAGTGCCCCACTTTCAATAATGGATAGAATAGCTAGCCAGAAGATCAAAAAAAGAAATAAAATATTTGAGCAGCTCTCTAAAACAATTAAATCTAGACTATAGGTATAGTGTGAGATGAGTACTAGACTTAATGGGGGGATCACGATCACTTCATAAATCATATAAATGTCTAACTTGTATGCTGTACACCTGAAACTAACATAAAATAATATTGAATATCAACTATAATTTTAAGAAAATAGGGAGATGTAAAGTCTTGCAGAGGGGATATAGTCAGTAATATTCTAATTACTATGTACAGTGTCAGATGGTAATAGACTTATTGAGGTTATCACTTTGTGAGGTTTGTAAATGTCTAATCACTATGTTGTTTTATATACCTGAAACTAATAAAAAAAAATAAATATTGGCATATTTGAAGGTTCATTTACTTTGTAGAAGAAAACTAGAATACCACTTTTTTTAGGTCTTTAAAAATATTCTAATAGTGAAAAAATTAGTGTAGCTGGTGGTAAATAACTCAGCTTTTCTTGGTGAATCAGATGTATATATTGGTTATTTAACAAGCTCTTATCTCTGTTATTGATATAGTTTTGGGGCAGTGCCGTGACAACATTGAGCCGAAAAAGTTGCCTATCTCTGAAGAGGAGCAGATTTACCCTTGGGACACATGTGCAGCAGTTCATGATGTGAGGCTTTCATTGTTACAGCGGTATTTTAAGGATGTAAGTACCCTTTTTATCAAATAGTACTTTTCTCTGCGTAATTGATAGTTATTTCCCTTCAGAGTTTTAGTTTATATTTTTTCTTCTACCAAATGTCACTTTAATTTGGAATCTGGAAGTTTATTAGGAAAAAAATTAATATGTGGACAGTAAAGAAATGGAATTCTGTTAATATGTAAACATTTCAGGATATAAATATTATACCTTGATTTATTGATTTATTTATTTTTAATTTTCTCTCTACAAGTTTATTCAACTCCAAAATCACTGCAAGTTTCTTGAGATTATTTCCTCTTCAAAGTTGACTTTACTGAGGTTGTTGACCATGTCCACCAGTCGTGGGACTACCCCCCACCCCTAACCAATCCAGTCTCACTCCATTTATATTCTGACTTTAAAAACATTCCTGCTCAGGCTACATTATGCAAAAACAGGGGCACACAGATTATTTTTTCACCACAAGCTCATTCAGCACCAAATAATCACTCCAACTTTACTGAGGTGGTTGACCACGTCCGCAACCAAATCCGCCTCCAAACTGGAATTCGGTTGCGTACCCAGCCCCCGCCTCGGCTTTCTTGTCGGCACCAGGAGGCACAGCACTCCNCACGCTCGCTGCCAGCCAGTCTCACTGCAGCCTACGCAGTCGCTGGCGACTCACGGCAGCCCAGCTCCAGGTCGAGCTGTTGTTCACCATCTTAGCTGTAGAGGGCGTAGCGTCACTGGCCCTCATATGTGGGATCCAAACCCAGGCCCTGCTGCTCAGAGCTGGCGTCCCAAGCCAACTCCTAACCAACACGCCACTCGTGTCTTATTTTCTTACCTATTCAAGCACCCTTTCTTTTGATTGGAACATTTAATCCACTTACATTGAAAGTAATTGTTGATGGATATGTAGTTATTGCCATTTTATTATTCATATTTTTTATCTTTTTTTTTTTGTCTTAAGTCTCTCAAAGATTTCTTGTAATACTGGTTTGGTGGTGAGTCACTCCTTTAGCTTTTTTTGTCTGCAAAGTTCTTTATCCTTCTATTCTATTATAAAGGATAGCTTTGCTGGGTAGAATAGTCTTGGTTGTGGGTCCTTGCTTTTTATCACTTTGGATATTTTATGCCAATCCCTTCTGGCCTGCAATATTTCTATTGAGAAATCAGCTGAGAGCCTTATGGGAGCACCCTTGTAGGTAACTGCTTTTCTCTTTCTGCTTTTAAGATTTTTTCTTTGTCTTTATCCTTTGGCATTTTAATTATGATGTGTCTTGGTGTGGGCCCTTTTGGGTTCATCTTGTTTGGGACTCTGTACTTCCTGGGCCTGTATGTCTTTTTCACCAAGTTAGGAAAGTTTTCAGTCATTACACATATAGATTTAATACCTGCTAACTAATAATTAATAATAATAATAATAATAATAATAATAATAATAATAATCCAGTTACAGTGATGTAAATCTGACACTCAGATTTTTTCCCCCATGTGTTGCCAGTTAAAAATACAAAAAGTTTTTTCTCTTGAAATTTTCTGATTTAGAAGTTTGACATTTTCCTATAAAGCTAAACTTTGTCTTAACCGTGATCCAGTCATCATGCTCTTAGGTATTTACCTAACTGATGTAAAATCTTATGTCCACACAAAAATCTACACATGAAATTTTTTTTTTAATTTTTATTGGGGAACAGTGTGTTTTTCCAGGACCCATCAGCTCCAAGTCAAGTAGTTGTCTTTAATCTAGTTGTGGAGCGTGCAGCTCCTTGGCCCATGTGGGAATCGAACCGGCAACCTTGGTGTTATAAGCCTGCGCTCTAACCACCTGAGCTAACCAGCTGCCCCCTACACATGAATGTTTATAGCAACTTTATTCATAATTGCTCAAAACTGGAAATAGCCAAGATAGCTTTCAATAGATGAATAAACAAACTGTGGTACATTCATGCAATGGAACACTATTCGGTAATAAAAAGGAATGTACTATCAAAACATGCAAGGACATAGATGAATCTTAAATACATATTGCTTAGTGAAAGTAGACAGTCTGTAAAGGCTATGATCTGTATATTTCCAATTATGTGACATTTTGGAAAAGGCAAAAATATAGAAATAGTAAACAAACCAGTGGTTACCAGGGTGGGGGAGTGGTGGTGGGCTCAATAGGTGAAGCACAGGATTCTTTTAAAGCTGTTAAATTATTCTGTGTGATACTATAAAATTGGATACATAACACTATGTATTTGTCAAAACCCATAGAACTTTACAACAGAGTGAATCTTAATGTATGAAAATTTAAAAAGTCATTTAGATGTTGGAGGCCCCAGGATAGAATACAGAATGTGAGAAGAGAATAACTGTATTACAAATGTACCAGAATGATAGAATCAATTATAAATTACCAATAATATATTTTAATTCATTATAGAATATATAGAAGCAGTAATTTTCTTCTTTTTTAAGAAATAGAAACCAGGATCTTTTTAGTTTCTTCAAGAAAAAAAAGGACATTAGTATCTGTAATTATTAAAGCTAGAATTCAAATAAATATAACTATACATGAAAAGAGGTCATCTATTTTATTTTCATGCCTTTAGCAGTATAACACTGTAGAAGATTGTCAAGCCTTATTTAAAAACTAGAAAAGCTGACTTAGCAGCTTCTTTGATGTTGCATTTTGGTATTAGGATTTATTTCCGTGAAGTTTTCAAGTTGATTGTACCAAGACATAAAAAGAAGGAAAGATATCTTTGTATGTGAGGTAGAGTTAATGAGATTCTAGTTCTTTGGCACTTAATATGAGACTGAATTATTTCATGTCAGTTTAAGTCAGGTATTTCTCTATTCTCCTTTGAACTTGAGAGCAATCAGACTCATCTCCTGTTTTCTGTACTAAAATTTTCTTTCTAAAAAAACAGTAATCACATATCAAATCTTTTTGGCCTTTGGTATTTTCTTTTGAAATCTTTTCATTTTCACCCATTAATCTTATTTTCATAGACATTGAACTTTCTGGTTCTGATTCTGTTCATATATTGTTGATTGTTTTTTCTCTGATTTTCTTATTGGCTTCTTTTTGTTTCCATTAATGCTAGGCATTATCCAAAGTTCTATTTTAGGTTTCTGCCCCTTTTCCTCTCAGTTGCTCTTAATAACTTTCAGATATATGTTTATCTGTATGAGTTTTTATTAAAACATATCTAAACTTGACATCTTTCTTTCTATTTTTGTCATGTATTTTTACATATTTATTTAGATATGCCTCCATCTTTTAAACAAATCGTAAATCACTCTGGCTTCCCTGGTCTTCCCCGTCCCCTCTACCCATTTTCTTTGCCGCTATGGACAATATCACTGATCTTCATGAATTTAAGAGTCTTTATCTTAAATTCAACATTTTATTTCTTGCTCTTAATGATATCACATCACCAGACGGTTACTGTTATTTTCTATAGTAGTTCTGCTTAATTAATATACTTGTACATGGTCATATCTAAAGAAATTCCCTTCATAAATAAATATATTGATAATTATTGCTAAGATATAATCTTTAGAATTAAAAGTAAAAGAGGAATAGTTTGTTCCTCTTTTATCGCCTAGTAAATATTGTCATTTCTTTCTAAGAACTGTAATGTTATTATAAATTTTCCTTCTAAGGTACCTCAAAGAAATTAGAAACAATTTCTACCTAATTTCCTTAAATTATATTATAAAGGTTTTTTTGATACAAATGTCTTTGCCTTTGTGTTTTTTGTTTCAATATAAATGTGAATGACACAACACTCAGAAGTGTGTTTAACCATGTATTATTTAAAGTCTTTAATTATGTCAACTTTGCATTTTTTGGTCTTTTGCTGAGTAAACATTTTATTTTAGCAAGTTTTTTTGTCCATAATTTTATTACTATGTTAATGTTACTGGTATTGAAGCTCAAAATTATTTGAACTTGATTTCTTTTTACATGTTGATTGAAGAGAGATTTTTCTCCTCAGATTCTCCTGAGAATGATATTCCTATGGAGATTGCTACAGCAGAGCCACAAGTTTCTGAGGCGGTATATGATTGTGTTATTTGTGGACAGAGTGGCCCCTCCTCTGAAGACCGACCTACAGGATTGGTTGTACTGTTACAAGCATCCTCAGGTAAAATCAATTTTTCAGTGGGAACATTTTAGAGACAAAGTATAAATTAATAAGTACCTGTATTGAGTGAAAGTTATATCTTAATTTAGATATAACTATATAGGAAGGATCAATTTAGATCTATATAACAAAGATTCTTAATCTGGTTTTTTGGACATGAGTTGGAAGAAGCCCTTAACAGAGAGATCTGTCTATAATGTTACACATTGGTTTTCTTTAAAATGTGATGGTATATCACCAATGCTAGGTGGTCAATAACTGAGTTCAATATTCTTGTCCATTTAATTGTTCTACGATCTGGAAGCATTTAAGCCCAGAAATATTGTCAGGTTAAATACTTTAACTATATAAGGCATATTCAGGGAGCTTTGCTCTTATATCTTGAGCTACTAGAAGCAGTCATTCTTTTTTAAGATTTTTATTGGGGAATTGGGGGAAGGGGAACAGACAAGTTGCTGTCCTTTTGTTCTTCAGTCTAGTTGTGGAGGATATTGCTTCACTGGCCCAAGTTGGCACCATCATTGCGCTCTTCCCAGGTGAGGCAAATCAGTCGCCGCCTTCTGGACGGC